GCCTTAAGCCTATGTCACACTACGGATTAGGATTGAGATTGGATTGAAACTTGACCAATCAGAAGAAAGAAAATCAATTCTAAGTTTACTGATCTTCGCTCTGATTGGCCAAATTGCAATCCAATCTCAATCCTAATCCGTAGTGTGACATAGGCTTTAAACTAGCCAACTTCGCGCATGCGCGTTATTGCTGGCTTCACTGACATCAAAGGTGCCGACAGGGAGTTGCGCTACTGTATATACTGTGACAGTGTCGCCTGTGTACGTAGCTGAAAAGCTCCCTATGAAACTAGACTAACAACTTTTGCCACTTTCCAACATCAAATGTCACTGGTTTGTTTACACGCGTTGTTGCCAGCACTGGCGACATTTGACAAGAAGAAAGGACACGGACAACAAAACGCGGAACCTGTTGTTCAGAGAGGTGAGGACCGAGGAATGTAGGGACGCCGTGAACGCGAATGGCATCATGACCACCAAAATTGGTCCGCAACACACGTCAAACTCGTATAACGGAGGTAATCACGGAGATTTCACTTCATTTTTAATTATTGTGTCCTCGGTTTGTTGCGGTTCGCTCGGGAAACAAAATCGCGCGCTCGCAACATCCATGAAATGATTGAGATTGAAAAACCGTCTGCTGGGCGTCCTTATGGCGTCTGCTATTAAACTTGAGTGATTTTTTATTCAATGTATGTAGAGGCGTTCTCTCTTTTTCTCTCTCTGTGTTATATATGTGTTTTTACTTAATGCAGGAGCAACTTTACTACAGATGTCAGCCGCAAAAATCAGTTGGAGATGATATATAAGAAATTTATCTCAAAAGTTTGTTTTTGATTGTGTGTACATAATTGTGAGTGTGTGTTTGCGTGAGTATATAAATGTATGTGTGTATGTGTATATGTATATACATATGTATGTACACATGTATATACATATGTATGTACATATGTATATACATATGTGTGAGTTTGTACACTCTAGTGAAAAAGTATATTTATGATTTTACATTGACATATTGTGTCTTATTAGAATAAAAATAAACTTTTGTATTTTGTGTTGCATACTTTTTTACTAATATATAAAAATAGGTTTTTCTCAGAAACATAAACTTTTCATAAGGTAAAATTTTGAAACTAAGTTATTAAAATAATATATACCATGTGTAAATTTATATATAATGATATATTTTATAGAATTAGTATTTTAAATGATTGAAAATACATATTATAGGTGATGTAGGAAGAAGTAGTCCAACAGCATTGTTGGAAGTGCTGGCAGAAGTTGCATCCCAAACATTGCACTCAGAAAACAAGCACATCAATTCACTGCTAACATTGCAATGTAAATCCAAACCAGATAGTGTAAAGCGAAGAGAATCGAACTTTACTGTATCTCAGCTCCTATCTATGCCTGTTTCTCATCTTGTTAAGCAATTTACTATTTTTACAAGTGATGAGCTCAAAAGACAATATTCTTATACTTGTGCATTAGTGCCTGGTTGTCAACAGAAATATAGCAGTTTTGCCAGTGAGGAAAAAGCAAGAGCATCTATCAAGAATCATTTAATAGGACACTTAGAATCTTTACAAGCAAACAAGGAAATTTGTAAGTATATTAATCTATAATAATCTAATATATATTAAAAAACATTTATATATGAAAAAATATAAATTACTTTGATTATTAATTATATATTAAATTACAGATGACACATTTACTGTAAAAAGTGTAAATCATAAGGCTTTGAAGACTAATCAAAATAAAAAAAGTCGGTTGCAGCAGATAAAAAAGCCTCAAGAAACATTAAATAAAGAGAACAAAGATGTAATACTAGAAAAGTCTACAAATTATTTACGTAATATACTCCTGAATGATTCTAATATTAAGGGGAACGAGAAACAGAAGTATTTTCAGAAATCAGAAAAAGAAACACAAAATTTTGGATTAAAGGATCAAATGGATCTCAAAGTTCTCCGTGATCACAGTTATTCTGAAAGATTAGATGATAAAATGCCTATTAAGAAAGAAATATCCTTCAACGAAGTTTCTGATAATATTGCAAAAGAAGATAATGTGAGTGACAAGTAATTTATAACAAATTATTAAATATATATGTATATATTTTCATCAGAATGTTTAGGTTGATTGTGAGCTAAAAAACACAAGAAGTTTTGTATGCATGATTCTTTATTCTTTCATTGGTGTATAAACAAAAATATATAACATATACTGAAGATCCAAACAAAGGAATCGAAACGTTTGTAATTTTTTAGTATTTTTAAAATAAAAAATCACGCACATCTTGTGTTCTTGCTCGCATCTGTCCAAATATTCTGTTTCATCATCTCACGAGCTTATTTAATTGTTATATTTTTAATTCGTAGATTGTTTTGATGGTTATTGGCAGTGATAGTGTTCATATGAAAGAATATTCTCATGTCAATCAGAAATTAACTGAAAACACCAATTGGGATCAAAGTTCTGATTCTGCTTGCTTAGTATCAGGTATAATCCTTAACTAACAAATATATTAATATTTTAATGCATAAAATTTATATATGATTCTTTGAATATTATATGTAAATAATTTGTCACACAGATGACACTCGGACTAGAAACGTGGAAGTATCTGCGACTAAACCAAAGGGTAAAGCGAAATTCATTGGTACGAGCAAAGAAGAAAGGGAAATGGCACTAGCATACATCGAGCGTATTAAGAAGAAAGGTAACCCGACAGGAAGTAATCTTCAATGTCGCATTTGCGACCCACCCCGTAGTTTTACAGCGCCTACGACTTTAGTATCTCATTATCGAAGTCACGCCGGAATAAAGCCGTATGAGTGTCGAATATGTAAAGCAGTTTTCACGAGAAGACATAGTCTCAAGTATCACATGTTGATCCATCAAAATCAAACGCGTTTCACGTGCACGGACTGCGGAAAGAAGTTTAGGCATCCGTCCCACTTTAGGGAACATCAACGCAGGCACACCGGAGAGGCGCCGTTCGGATGCGATGACTGTGGACAACGGTAGGTATATTTTTTTACTTTATTTAATTGGTCGATGTAATGTTTGATGTACTACCAGTACTGCCGTTTTTATCTTAGGTTTAAGACAAGAAATACTTACAAGCGCCATCTAAAAACGCGACATGGAAAAATTCTCACAACAGTAGGTGAAGTCTTGCATCTTTCTGAGGAAGACTTTCAAAAGGTGCGTACAAATCGAAGAAAGAAGGACAGTACTCCAGAGATGACGACAAATGTCAACGAAGGCGCGTCCAATGTAATTGTAGATTTTGGGAATCAGCATGATGATGGACAAAAAACAATGAACGCAAATACTACAACAGAGTATGTTTTGAAAGAGAACGTTGACGATGTCAACAGAATTTGGATAAAGGAAGAGATGCAATTTGTTAACGATTGTTACGAGATTTGCACGGAATCTCACTTGGATAAGACTGATGGCATAGAGACTGAAATAACTATAGATTGTAAAAATCCAGATAGAGACGATAGCAATATGGAATGTATTAACGATGTACAAGAAGATGGCCTGATACAATTAAACAGTCCTATTTACGATAACGTAGAAGTAACCAATAATACAGATCATATTTATCAGCATAATGAAGACTATCAAAACGAAGATCGTGTTTCCAGAGTTGAAAATTATGAACATCCGCAAATAAATTGCAATAACGAGATTTTAAGAACGGGAGAAGATCAAGAAGATAATAGCATACACATATTACAAAACTCAAAACACGACTATCATAAAATAATGTATAACAACCGTGACAACCAAAATGAATCCACAACATATATGCATTTAAAAACAAAGCAAGCAGAAACTGTAAGTTCTGATAAGAATAATCAAATACACGATAAAGAAGTCATTGGAAAATATACGGAAGATGTTGCTGTTTGTACAGAAGTTACAAGTGCAAACGTCAATATTTTGCAAACATTCGATAAAGCTGTAGAAAACATTATTCCGCTCAATCAAGATATCATATCGGAAGGAGATCACGTAAGTGAAAGCATCGTGAATAATTTAAATGTCTTTTCAGCAAATCCTACCGAAACAAATCAACCGAAAACTGATCAACCGCAAAATAGTCAGTATTTGTATGTTTGTACCGAAAATAAAGTAACGGCGCAAAGTAAATATATAAATATACCTCTTCGTCCGATCATGTGGTGTCGTGACAACCAGAAACAGTTGCAAATGACGGAGGATAATGGTCGAAAAATTCGAGTTCTAAGTAGCGAGGATGTACGAGCAATTAATATAAAGCAATTTGAAAAGCAAAATACGATTTTACTTGTGTCTAATAGTAATTTGAAGAATGGCATTTTTCAGGTTAAGAAAAGTAACATTACTGCAAAAGAGATATGAAGAGATAGAGTGCGTAGAGATCTAAATTTAAATAATAAAATTTGTACACAACAAAACATGTAAAGTTCAATGTTGATCATATTTGAAATATATTTTTTATTAACATAAAACAATGCGCTAATAGAATCAGTCGATTTACTCATGCAATAATTAATCCAAGACAAAAAATATGAAAGAAAATAATACATTTTTCTTGCTTAAATGTAAATAGCAGAAAGATGCTTTTGCTTCATTATATAATAAATAATTTTATTTACTGTGTTTAAAAATTGAAAACTAAAATATGCATATGAAATAATACAAGTATGCCTATGTGGGTGATGATTACAATGATAATGTTATGTAATAAACCTCTATGATGCATTTATTTTACAATAGAGAGGTTTGATAATTTTGTGTGAAGATATTACTCATATAATAAGGTTATTTAATATTGACTATAAAAATAGTCATTGTATTTAATCTAAGTCTTTCATATAATGTAAAACTGTTGTTTGGAACTAAAGTTTCAGTTTCTCTTGATACATACACAAAAAAAAAATTATTTTGAGTTTATTTATAATTACTGCTTGTTGAATACTTCTGCTTCATTTCTTCAAATCTTATATGTACAGAAGTGCCAAATATGAAACGAAACATATGTAAATGTATATTACATTTATATACTCATCTTGTTTGGGTATAATTTGAGAAAAAAGTAAATGTTTTTATCTTAAAGACAAATAACAAATATTTCTGTTATGATATAATTGACTTATTCGATTTTTCTTTAGATTTATATATAGTTTATAAAAACACTATATATTTAATTTTATAGGAATTGAGTTTTAACACTTATACTCGTATATTATGTGTGTAAACCTGTAGTGCTTATCTTTGTTATTTTTAGTTGTAATGTTAAAAGCAAGTAGTTGCGACGAAATGATATAATAAGTTTTCTATTTTCTGTGCAATGAAGCACTTTTTTTTACAGGAACACAATTATGTTGATTAGGCGAATCGTAAATTGTTGCGATTAAATATTGCAAAAGAGTTTCCAATGCATAAAATGACTATTGTCTTTTCGATTCTTAACAAGATCTCGTATCTTCAAACTGTCTTCCAAAATCTTTAATTTTCAACTTATCATATCACATGTGTCTGCTTTATATTGTAAACATTGTTTTATTAACGTTACGCACAGGTTGTAAAGAATAAGAAGCTATATTGGCAGTTATTTGAATGAACAGATATTTATAAATCGCTGTGATTATATTTAATTCAAAAGACAAAACAATTAATTGCTTGCATTAGATAAATGTTTCAGTTGCAAGTTCTACAATACATACTTTTATAAAATGTCGAGATTAAATTGTATTTTTGTTTTGAAACGATCTTTATTGATTACTTTCAGAAATAATTTTTAAAAGTATATTATAGCAGATATGTATCACTATACGTAGTAATAAATACCCAGCAAAAACAATTTCTGACTGCGCAGACCTGGCAACAGAAACTGTGCAGAAACGTTACAATACGGAAACATGCTTTGTGTGCTGCCAAAGCTGTTAACACACAGACACAAAAAACGCAATATAGTCACCAAAACTCACCAAAATCATATCCTACTGAGGACACATATGGATTTGGTGTGACGGTTGGCGACAAAATCGCGACATCTGACAACCAAATTGTTTGCTGGGTAATAACACTTCTATAATGTTTTGCTTTTTGGTTAGCTTTACTAATGCAAGCATAATGTAGGTATTACATAAATTCAAATAACATACATACAAGATCGTTTTATGTAAACTAACCATGTCTGCAATATTACTTGATTTCTTGCGAATATTTTATAGATATTATTTAAGTATATATGTCCAGAAAAAACAAAGTATCTAATATAAAATATAAAAGAAGAAAAAAAGAAAAAAAAGAAGAGAGTGAGTAACTAAGTGAATGAGTGAGTGAGTGAGTGTATGAATGAATGAATGAATGAATGAATGAATGAATGAATGAATGAATGAATGAATAAGAGAGTGAGAGAGAGAGAGAGAGAGAGAAAGAAAGAAAGAAAGAAAGAGCGCGTGCCTTTGATAAAATATATGAAATATATGCATTTACTTAGATTATGTAGAAGTGTGTATGTATAGTGTGTATACAATGATCATGAGAGAAAATGCGATAATTAATGACATTAAAAGTCGATAAGATCAAGTACATAATATAATATAATATAGTTATAAACTTAGTTACTAACAGAATATTAAAAAATGAAATATATACATAATCTTTAAGTAATATATGTAACATTATTCGAATGTTTTTGTATAATTATTTCTAATTATATACAAAAATATAATAACAAAGATGTCAAAAACTAACACAAAAAGCTTATATAATGTATTTTTCTACGTATTTTGTACTTATATAAATATATTTCTAAAAATCTAGTTCTCTTGTGCATATCTTATTTTGAATTTCCTACTAAACAGATAGAACAAAATTAGGAATAAATATAAAAGTACTGACAAATATTTTCTATGATGTAACAAACTTGTTAAATACATAGTTTTTCTTTTTTTGATAATACTTAAGCACCGTTTTTATTATTGTTCAGTCAACAATAGTAATAACACAAACTTGTTCTGAAATTTTGTAATAAATATATATATATATATATATATAAATCTTACTAAATATAATATTATTTACAAATAATTAATTTGCCAAGAAATTTATACAAATATTATACAGTAGGGAGCACCATATCGTGCGGCTCCAGGGGAAATAGTTTTCGGAAATTTCTCCTTTGGATACTTTATAGTATCGCACCCCGTTCTTTCTCTGTCTCCGCCAACGGTCCGAAATCGAAGGAGAAGAGCGCGCAGTAATAGGAGCAGCTAAAGAAGAAATTTCCGAGAAATACTTCCCCTGGAGCCGCACGATATGGTGCTCTCTACTGTACAGACGGCGTCATTAATTCGAAGAATAGGCGCGGGGATCGGAGGGCAAGCGGGGCGGTTGCTCGTAGCGCCAACGGGCGCCGTACTTACTAACTAGTAGCAATCGGGTGTCCACAACTAGACACCCGATTTTGGGACTAATGGATATTTGGATCAACTGGACTTTTTATGTGATCCCCGCGCCTATTCTTCGAATTAATGACGCCGTCTGTACATAGAGTTATACATGTGGTTTCCTCCACCCTTTCTCTCTCTCTTTCTCTTTGAATATTATACGTCTTTAATAATTTAAACACGATATTTAGCATAATGTACAATGTGATATGAGAACATTTTACAATTAAACATATGTATATAAAAGTTTATATACTTATACAATGCAATATTTTTTTATCGTATTGAATATATCATTGTAACAAAATTTATATACGTATATATTGCATTTTTCATTATAGTAAAACAATACCTCTTTATCATCTTTACGATCATTACGCATCTTCCCGGCGACCTTTGTTAAATGTCACGCGTTTTTTGACATGTCACTTTTACATGTCATTTCAAATGACATTCTCGTAACGTTTCGCTCGTGTGTATAACTAATTATGACGTCTGTGTACGAAAGTTCGTGACCGGAAAATCAACGACAAACAATTTAATTTAACGTTAGTCTAATTACACCTAGCGCAGAACGTGATACAACCTCTCTCGTACACTCAAATGAATAGAAACCGCAAGGTGAAGAAAACAGGATCACAACAAAAAATATGGAATTTAGATAAAATCCTATACAGACAGTAAACCAAAACTTTATTTCATTTAACACTATATGTGTTCAATGCGAAAACCACTCGTGGTTACGTACTTACGTCGAAATCTGTAAACGAATTCTCAATTTGAAAACGAAGTTTATTAATTGTAATATGTCTAAAATAATTAAAATAAACAAGGTGAGGTGAACAAATTAATTCAATTAATTACAAATTTAAAGCACGTAAAGCCGTGGAAACTAATTAATCACTCATTTCTTTTTTGTGAATCGCGTTTGTCTCTTCATTTTCAAACATGAATTAGGTAATTTAATTTAAACTTGTGTGTTTTATCAAAACGTAAACTCGGTTTAAACTTTATGTCAAATCTAAACTCTTGAACTTTTGTTATAACTTTATTTCGAGTTTCATACTGATGTTTTCTTAATTGTGATGTAATATAAATTAGACCGCATAATTCATTCTATGCAGATATGTACAAATCGCTCGGCTGTACAAATATATTGCGATTTATATGTAATTTTTCTAAAAGAAAGAGAGTACAATTATATACAGGGTGTCCCGTAACTGCCATACAATTTCTCGTGGGAAGATAGAGAGGGTTATATCGAGTCAAAAAGAGTCCTTTACCACTTTGCGAGATTCGCAAAAAATATCGTAGTAAAAACATATAAAAGGTGTAAGAAAAACTACATGGAAATCAAGCTCGAAACAGAAAGAGAAGTGGAAAAACAAAACGTGATTAAAGTCACGTGATTTTACTTTAATCATGTGTCTTTAAAAATGTGACTAAAGTAAGGTCACATGACTGCAGTTTAGTCACGTGTCTTTAAAAACGTGACTAAAGTAAAGTCACGTGTTGTTTTTTCACTTCTCTCTCTCTCTCTCTATTTTTCGAGTTTGATCTTCATGCGTTATTTCTTACACTTCTCATGGTTTTTATTGCTGTATTTATTGCAAATCTCGCAAAGTGGTAAAGGACTTTTAGAATCAATATAACCCTCTCTACCTGCCCACGAGAGATTGTATGGCAATACGTGATATTCTGTATAATAGTAAATCGTGTTTTATTAAAAATCTATCTCAAAATATTTTGTATCTAAAAACTTGCTCATAGCGATATACATAGTACAGAAACGATTCCGTTTTGAACATTTGTATCTACGCAGAATTTATATCCTACACGTCAACACTCCGGTTTCTTTGTAAGTATGCGATATAACGTAGTACACATTTAGATAGCACACACACACACATTTTCTGTACATTCACGTTCCGTTATCCGGGTTATTGAATAGGTACCATTGCTTCTCGTTTGCACTCTGAACAGCATTCCGGTCGCGATTGATTAACATCGGAAATAAAGTTATTTTTTGTCGTATCTTTTTTATCTGCTCTTATTTTATGCCGAGAAAAAGACTCGCGAAATATTTCGGGCTTATGTCTGAAACTTTGTGCCGGTAAAAGACGATATTTTTGGTAGTTCCGTTCGAAATATATATGTTATTCCACAAAAGTTCTGGTCAGAAATATATAATACACATGCTTTTCTTATGTCTTGAAAGAGAAAGAAAGAAAAGAGAAAGAGACATATGCCAAGATATTTTTTAAGTGATACTTGAAAAGTCTGAAGTTTCTTTACTTGAGATGTAAGAACGATAAAAATACATAACATTAAATATTCATAACATATACATATTCATAATATATACATAATATATATTCACAATATATATTCATAATATATACATAACATTAAATATATAATATTAATATTAAATATTTCAGTAATTCTGTGCAAGCGCTTGTGTGTTGATTAAATTGAAAAATTAATCTAAACATGTGAACAACGAAATTAGAGTGTTCATTTGTGTGTGTGTGTGTTTGTACAATTACATAACAAAAATTAAAAATTTATCATAAATTCGGTGAGTCTTATGTGCAAAAAATGTGAAAAAAAACAGCGGATCAATTTCGGAACAATTTCTCTCTCTCTAGAAATTTCAAAAGAAATTCTGGAAACAAAATTATGATCTTTAAAATTTACATTTATTTAGACGCTCCAATTCTTTCTCTAATAAATTGGAATGGGATTTCCAGCAAGACAACGGTCTAAAAACATGACATTATATAACCCATATCCCATGTGCAAAATTATAACATAAGTAATAGCAGGACCATTAATATTCGTTTTGTCGGGGAAGTTCTCGATTTTGTTACAACTTATGAATATAAAAATATATGAAACTTAACAGAAATTTATTTTTGTGTTTTCTGTTTTGTTTTCTTTAAGCTCCTACATATTCCTTCTATATATTTCTTTGTTATACATGTGTATCTATCCAATTTTAAAACTGATTAAATATTTCAGTAAAGTACTTCATGAATTATGGATTTTATTTTGCGAGAATATGATATAATATCACGAATATTATAATTTTATATTTTGTAGTTATTTACAGTGTGCGGCATTCGAATGTTAAAATAAGCACGCGCAAATATAAGAGTTTAACGAGGCCGAACAAATTATACGTGTCGTAGTTATTACCACACATTTGTTCAAATTACGTTTGGTCTTATTCAAGTAAATGAAATTCGAGTTCTGTTTGTAAGTGTACATATAACAAATAAATTTTGCAGAGAGACGAGGTTACGCACGTTTTCCGGGAAAAGGAATGTTGAATTTAGCGTTGCCATAAAAATAACATTATCGTAAAGAAAATCACATTAAGAAAAAACAGAATCACTTTAAAATAGCAGTTCTATCTCGAAGTTCATAAAAATCTTTGTCTTGACTTCTTGCAATTTTTATCACAATTCTTTCTCTTTTCTCTCTCTCCCTCTCTCTCTCTCTCTCTCTCTCTCTCTTTCTCTCTCTCTTTGTATGTAAAGAATTATTTATCATTTGCCACAATATTGTTTCTTTGCAATTAGGATTAGTTAAAACAAATTATTGATTACTCTACATTTCTTTTGTTTCAAGTGTTTCTGGACGGCGATTACAACTTCGTTGTACAATTTGAACCGCGCCGACCAATTTCTCTCTCTCTCTCTCTCTCTCTCTCTCTCTCTCTCTCTCTCTCTCTCTCTTTCTTTCTTTCTTTCTTTCATATGTTCTTGATTCTATATGATTATCGTAAATTATACTGTTATTGTAAATTATACTGTTATTTCTGCGCTTTAGGGGGGGGGGGGATATTATCCCAGAGAGCGCGATACAAATAAAGCATTCATTCATTCATTCATTCTCTCTCTCTCTGTCGATATTATTTTTCTGTACGGAGCGAATAATTAAATTGAATTTAATAAATTCAATTAACTTTCTCTCAAGAATATCAACTTGAAAGATTGATAGCGTGTCCTCGTTTTGCCAATAATTATGTTGGAGATGTTCAGCGCGTTTCCATATTTGAATAAGTAACTGTTTATAAAAGTTTTCCGGATAATCTTTTTGTATTCCGAAATAATGTATTTCGTTGAAGTCAATATTTGTACGTGAGATGAATACTATTCTACTTTCACTTGAGTTTGAGACGCGTTTGGATACAAACATATAATAGAAACTGGCAAGAAAGACACTCTCATCTAAAACTGCAAGCTTGAAACTTTCTACGAACATAATAAACGTGAGACTCGAGGCACGCGATTCTGTCTCTAACGTCTGGAAAATACATTTTTCTATATTTTTCACAAAGGCTATTGTGTTAATAAGAAGTTAAAAATATCAAGCACAAGGTGATATTAAAATATAATTGAATTAGTTCTAAAAAATAAATTAGAATATAATTCGATATTATTATTATATATACATTACGCGTCTCTGAGAATGTGTGTTAAAAAACACAGGAAAAATATTGTCTTTTTTGAATATTTTTGACACCATCTCCCGGAGACATAATAAAGCGTTTATTACAGTACGAAAACTACCAGTATTGTCGTATATAATTATAACGTAATTTTACACGATACACGCCTCGCGCGTTAGTATTTATCTGATAAAATTACGAAGATATTAAAATATTCTATATGTAAAAAAGCAAAAGTACCAAGAAAAATTTAGAGATTTTAAACTTTGACAAGATTATCAGCGAAACGACGAGATCCATCTCACGTTACGTGGATTAATGGCTCATGCTTCTTTCCTATTATAATAAATGACGCGAGTGCGTCTATAAATCGACTTTTTTCAACGAAGAAGTTAACAAAGCGAAGGAGAGAAAGTGATATTTTTCTCACCGACCGTCGTCAGTACATGTATAATAGCTCGCACGTCAAACGTATGACGACTAGTGTGAGAATAAGTTATCAAAGATATACACTTTCTCAATAAAAATATCACGAGACGTTCTGAATTCGTTGTGAAAAATGCAAAAGACGGAGAATATTGCGTGCTGTTCTATTGCGAAAAAAGAACTTTTGCTGCTTATAAAAAGAGAGAATCTTTTTTGATCGTTCGCGCGCTTTAAATTGATATAACTCGCGTCAATGGAAAAATATATCTTTTCCAACTATCTTTTCCTGTGTGCTTTTCATGACACCAACCGAACGCTCTTGCTAACAAGGTAAATACTCGCGTATACATACATTCGCTTTGAATCGTAATATTTACGACGCGTACATACATACGCAAATCCTCCATAAGCCGGGACGGATAAATTTACATAACATTTTTACTCGCTTCTAATCCGTCGAAAATGTTTAGGGTAGTCAAGAGCAGACAGAGATTATGTTAAAAAACGGATCAGATCTGAGATGAGATCAAGCGTTTCTGACGTAACGGAAATTCGTAATTTGTATAATTGCAACTCTGTTATTAATGCATTTTTGAGGAACGCGTATTTTTTTCGAGTCATTTAATCAAAAAAAATCAAAACGGATTAGAATTAAAAGTGGAAAATTGTTATCACACTAAGAAAAAAAGATGTTAATTATTTAAATCCTAGTCTTAGCTTAATCAGTCTTCTCTTGATACACAAAAGCGTGTTCAGCGTTTACAAGTAAGGAGTGGAATTGTCGACGTATGCAAAGTCTTCACTTGAGATCGTGCGGGAGAATTCTTCAAATCTCCGAACGCATTCCTGCACGTAATGCAAAACATCTGTTGAACTTCATCTCTGAATTTCGCGTGATTTAAATCCATTTTTTCTCTCTCTCTTATTCTAAGAAATAGGTAGCTATTACATATCGGCGAAAGTGGTGATATCCGGTCTCGAATTGACGGCAAGCGCAGTCATTCTCGCGTATTTTCCCATCAGCTCACACTTGCGCCCAAGTGGAAAGTCTTAACGGGGAAAGGGGTTAACTGACGAATGAAGAAAGGGGCGCGAGGGTGCGCGTGGTGTTGCGCACGCATCTCTGAATGAACGCGCTTTCGAGGCGTTCAGTTTCGCCGACGGAGTTCTTCGATGCGGTGTACTGACTTCCCAACCCCCGCGAAAAGCGTCTGAATTCGCCTGAACGGCGAATCATTGCGAGCACACACGCGGAAACATGTGCGCGCGCGCGCGCGCAAATATCTCCCTCCGGCGATCAACGACAATAACGTGTACCAATTGATAATTTGATCGATTTGATCGCGAGTCAATAAATTACAATTCAAAAATTATAAATTTCGATGTGATTATTCGATCGGCGACAAACAACATTTAAGACTGGGCGAGCGTAACGCGCATCATCGGTCTCACGGATACGATCAATTTTGCCTTTTGTTGCCACTGGTGACAATGACTTTAAAGATTTTGCTTTCCGGACAATTTGCGGCTTTCGCGAACTAATCGTGAGGAGAAGAAACAAATTCACGGAAATAACAATACTCGTAAAGTACGCGATAAATTCAACGTACGTTTCGAGAACGGAGAAGAGAAAAAAGTCTCGCAGAAAAGTTCAAAAGTTACAGCTTGTGCTTGTGCGAGAAAGTGTTTTGAAGCCTGAGTGATTTACTTATTTTGTTACTCTTGCCAGTGTAAATTTCGATATTCACAATTACATCGTATCAACAATAAGAGATGTGATACATTATTACGTAAAACAATATTATTATGCATTCGCGTATTAAAAAAAAAGTAAAAAGTGTAAAATGTGTTTAGATTAAAAAAGGAGATTAGAAAAAATTGTGAACGGGAAAGTGATCGAATTACTTTGCAATCTCTAACGGAAATGATGACAAGGATGCGGGAAATCTCTCGACTTTATTTTGACGTGAAGCAAGAATTTGAAAATACCTCCATGAAAATTCGATGTCAATAATTTCTGAAGTAAATGATACGATTATTGCACATAGCATTTGGTGCAGCTAATTTTGTTGCTACTTTTCTAGATCAGGACGCGATGTTCGAAAAATTAAATGTCGACAGTAGAGAGAGAGAAAAATAAAAGTGTAAATAAGATAGATGTGATTGATCAACTCGGCGAAATTTTTATCGGAAAGTCATCAACATCGTTTGCAGCGATTAGGCAACGGAGTCTGCGAGATTATCGCACCGTATCATGGATTTGCATCAGCGATGTATACATTATCTCTTTGTGTGATGAGAAATGATTAATCCAATTAAACTACCACCATGATACTCGCCACTACGTCGTGCGCATTGTACACGGAAATCGGTAACGGCCGATAACATCGATTGAACCGTTTCGCGGAGAAATAGAGCGAAACCACCAAAACGAAGAAGACGATCCCTCGCAATTATGGCGGTTAACATCGAACTTTTGTACAATTGCTGCTTGTTGGTTTTGCCTAACGTTCCGCTGTCGCTGAAATCGAATTATAGCGAGCTCCAATTGTTTATCGACGAAGCATTGAATAGATCTGACAAGCGAGAAGTCCTGAAAGAAGAGCTCACGGATTGCTACTACATCAATCAGGACCGGCCGTTTGACCTGCCATGGTGGCAGAAATTCTTCTGGTCGCTGGTGTACGCGGTGATTTTGCTGGTCGCAACCGGTGGAAATATCATTGTCATATGGATTGTACTTGGTAAGAAGACAAACGGCGCGAACGTGATGCGACACGTGTTTCGCGAAATTATAGCCTCATTAACGGAGCATCGCATTTCGCACATGCAAAATGTAAAGCGCAATTTTTCTCCCACGAATAACGTACGCTTTTTACGTTACCGTGCAATTCACAATTTAATTCATACTATAATAAATCGGCACTAAAGCGTAGTTGAATTTGTTGATCAAGCTAGTGTCACTTTGTCGTTTCTAGAAGATTCTTACGCGATAATTACGAAAGTCATTTACGCAATTGTTTACGAGCAACGTTTTTGAGAATGAGAAGAATAAGATACGCGAAATTCTTAGCTTATTTATAATCAAAAAGATTCTTTTCTGTGGATCGGTCTATTTACAAAAATAGTCGTGACGCGTATTACAAGTTTCGTCAGTACAAATAATTGAGACCAAAACACACAAGTGATCAATCTTTCTGACGCTATAACCATATGTTCTACGCACAATCAACGTTAATTATAACTACTCTCCGTTTCGTAGTCCTTTTTAACTAAAGTTGACGTCGTTGAAATACATTCGAAATGGAAGCTATCAATATCTCATTAAAGCGGTATTATATAGAGAGCTACGTATACACGAAGTGTATACATATTTAGGATCCTTTCAACTGCGCGAATATTATATAATAATCTTTTAACATTGATCTCCTCTTGTCATTTCCCATCTATGCAAGTGAAACCTATAGCGTTCACTAAAATTGGAAATAACCTTACTTAATAACTTTATTTAAAATTTTTCTGATACCGAATTTTGAATCTTTGCGGACCACACACACACAGCCCACATTGTTCTTGATAATCGAATTGTCTTCATAAAATATAATTAGCATTGCAAAACATAATTTGACATTTTTCAGTTAATTACTTGCGTTGAACAGTTGCAGGAATCCCATTTAGGAAATCAAATTATATTGGCTATTATATTTGCTGCGGCACATTTAAATCGCGTTGCAATTTTGATCTACGTGATTTTCCGCGGAATCAAAATACTCAAAAATCAAATTTCATAATATTTAATGTTGTTGGTGATGAACACACGTAGTTTACATGCAATATCTTCTAATTACAAAAATTTGAAATTCCGCTGAAAATTCGCGAAAAAACATTAACCACTTGACAATTTAATTAAAAGTGTAGTCGCCTTCTCTCAATTATCCAGCCGACAATTCGGCTAATGATTCGATCGCGAAAACTGTTGGGCGTGAAGCGGACTGATATATTCATCAGTCGAGTCAATTTTAATTAGAAAACCAAGGTTTTGAGAAGATTGCGATACCTTTCTCCCCTCTTATTTTTTGCGCGTCTGTGTGTAAGTTTTATGTTATTCTAGTTTTGTTTTTAGGGGCTTCAAATGTAGATTGATTATCCCCCGTAGTTGGACAGTTTCGATCTTGTTACGATTCCCCGACAAATACATCGTGTCATCATTCTAATTTGATTTTTTACATTTTTTGAATGATGGATGCACGATCGGAATATTCTCGTTTCATCTTATTCAAATGTTACAAATATTGATGAAAAAAAAAAGTAAAATGCGAAAAAGCCAGATTACATTTGTAACATACAAGATTATTATTACAGCAGTTTTACGTGCTTTTCCTGTGAGCGCAAATTTTCTGAAGAATAATCATGTCTCATGTCAAAATTTTAATTATTGAGCTACTTAATAAACGTAAGTATGACTCGTATCGGATTATTTACAATTTCGCTTTGACAATTTCGTAACTTTTTTTAGAAGTTTGAAGCGTATTTACATGAAATTTGTGCGCGCTTTAGAGTCACTCTTAAAAATCTTTTCATTTTCAGAATGTTTGGGAAAGCTTGTCGTAAAACAGAATACAAATATTCTGTTTAATGAAACTATTTGGCACGCTTACGCTTTCCCAACATTGATAACACTAATAATGACATTATGTGCCTCGTACTTTATCAGATGACTGAATTGAATTCTTAGGCGAGGCACGTTTCGAAGCTAAGTGTGGATTAGGAAAGGTCTATCTTTCTACAATCTCTCATATACCAAGGAAGACAGAATCTTACTCTTGTCAATAGAATGTCTAAGTATACCATTGATAAGGATGAAGTAAGCATAAACTGTGTTAGGAAAGTAAATGAACGAAGACAAGAGGAGTTATTATAAGAAGAAAAATTATTTTGCTTTGATTAAAAATTATCCTTTTAACAAAATAATAAATAACGTTAAAAAAATAATAAACAAAACAACAAATTAGACTCTGCAGATTAAAAATTACATACAATAGAAAAAGACCACAAGAAATTTTTGTTTTATTACATAATAATTTATTCTGCACTCGGGAGTGTTCATTTAATAATTAACTTGTAATAAACACGTTAATTTGCGCGTCATCAGCACGTGGCTTTTATTGGAATTTTATACCACGTTTGTAATAAAATAAAACTCCACACAGTTTTAAAACTTGTACCTCTTACACGATAAAACATCTTTTACAGCGAATGTAAAAATCTTTCTAAGAAGATAAGAATTTGTCGCAACACACAACTTTGCACTTAATAACGGTCATATGACATTTCGTCGAAAAAGTGTCGCTTTTTCTTTTTACGATGACATTAACTTTCCCTTACTTTATCCGTCGTTCTATACATTTATAGACATTACATAGAATGTCGTGAAATATTCAGTCGACTGAATATTTCATTCTTGATCCTTCTTGTGCGTTGAAAACTATTTTCTCGATATACACGACCGAGACGTGTCCGATGAGAAGAAATAGAACGTAAAGCAAAGTAAATCTTCACATGCGATAAAACATGTCACCGCATCAATGTAAGAAGGATAGGTTGACGGTCTTGCAGAGGGTTATACAAGTTTTATGGTCTTTCGTTGACGCCCCTTCAACATAAGCATTAGGAGAAAGAAGGAAGAGCAGGAGGAGAATATATTAAAGTGCTTTAAATAATTCAGTATATGTTAATTTCGATATTAACATAACACATTACGGCGCGTGTTACAAAACTTCAAAGTTTATCGATTTATCGACGAGTTACACGGAAAAAAAAGTTTTGCTATTATATGGTTAGCAAAAAAAAATGGTTGACTCTACGAAATATTTTGTTTCATCAACAAAATGTTTTGTTGGCGAAACAAAAATTTTAGTAAACTTAACAAATGTTTTTTTGCTGGCCATATAATAACTAATTTCTTGCTATTCTAGCAAATCTTTTTTTTCCGTGTATCCGCTTTTTTCACATAGCTGAGCTATATATTTGATAACGCATAGTGTTCAATATAAACTAGCGAGCTCGTTTAATTTCCTGGTTATGAGAAAAGCCGAACAATAATTAGCGTTTTCAGCAAATAAATAAAACTCCGCATTGTTACAAACCGTTGATGTTAAAATCCTCGATACTTCAAAACCTCTTGTTTTGTGATTAACAGTTTCGTGAATTAACGAAATAAATTTACAATATACATAGCTTCATATATACTTTGCATATATAATTATTTTTTTCAATTATTGACCGTGGTCACGCACAATAGTTTGTCTTCATTTTTTTCCCGTCAGAGCTATTACCTCTAGTTATACGAATATCCTGTGAATTTGATACGTTTCGCCACGACAAGCATTCCTGATCAGAGAGTGAACGCAATTCGTTCCGACTGCACGGAAAATCGATAAGAGGATCCGATCTCTCTCTCTCCTCTCTCTCTCTCTCTCTCTCTCTCTCTCTNTCTCTCTCTCTCTCTCTCTCTCTCTCTCTCTCTCTCTCTCTCTCCTACAAAAATCACGTATCGGGTTTTGTGTATTATTTAACGTAGCGAGTAAAAGAATTACGCTTATGAATATCTTATCAAACGTACCTATTGTCTGAAAATGTGATTTATTCGCTACGCAATATCGCCCACGCAAATAATGTTGTAGCATATGTTTTCCCAGAATATGTTCAAATAAATAGAATAGGGAAATATAGAAAATATAATCAGCAAAAACAACAATAAAAATAACTATCCACAAATAACTTTTACATCATCACTCTCATCGTCGAAAAGTTTTAACCTTCTCACGAACGTTTAGATTTTTATTTTTTAAGGTAAATATTTACTTGGTTACTTTATTTCTATAATTTTATCGAGTAATAATCGATATAAAATATGAGTTTCACGTAACGACCGTATTATATTTTTAATAAGTATCTAATGCTTGATATTAACACTGATGCACAAATAGAGAAACATAATATTCTAGATTCGAATCCATATGACACTGACGTATGTACAAATAGAGAAATCTAATATTCTAGATTCGAATCCATATTCATTAAACTAATCATTAAACAAATCTCTATTATCGGTCATAATTAATTAAACATTCTTATATGCGCTGTCTATTGTAAATAAATGTTAGGTATATGTGATTTCTATGTGTATAGAAACTGAATTTGCGCTTTTGCCGAAATACCTCTTTTATTTAATTTTCTGTACAATATAGAGAGAGCCGTAAATTATAAACGTTAATAACATGATTTTGAATTATAAATTTGTATTTTTTTTTCAGTGACAGATTTTTAATTCAATTTTCAATGTTATTAAAACATATACTTCTCGTAAATATTTTCACGTATATCGTTTGAATCAATAAACTGTAATATAAAAGTTTACAAAATAGAATAATCAAATTGAAGCGAAACTCTTTGCGACGAGTAAATTAACAAAATTTGATATTATTTATCTGATATTATTTATTTGATATTATTTATCTGATATTATTTATTTGATATTATTTATCTGATATTATTTATTTGATATTATTTATCTAAAATTTTCCAGAATTTACAAATTTTTGAAGGTTTTAAATTTGAACTGCTTTAGTGTCATTACTGATAGTCTGATACGTATCAGACTGCTCTTGAACTTTGATGAAGTGAACTGAAGTGAAATGTCCACAAAACGTCGGTATAAAAATGACATTATCGGTTCAACCGT